ATTTACTTGAGAACTATACCAATTGACTACCATAAGTAAAGTAAGAAAACATGTTCATTGAGACTATTTCCAAGCTCCTAAGGCTAATACATCATAGATAGGTATTGAGTCAAATAGTAATCTTAGTTAATTAGATTTTTTTTTTTTCAAATATCAATTTGTTTCAATCAAATATGAGAATAAAATATAAATAAGTAAATTAGAGTGATATCAAACCAAAAAAGAAATAACTGCTAACAGGTTTGTGTGAAAAAGTAGTAGATTATTACATAAACCCTTTAACTTATTCATGAATCAAACAATATTTAAATTGTATAGTTTAAATTAAACAATATTTCAATCAAAACCCTAATAATACAAAAGGGATATTTGGCTGGTTTTGCTTACTGTTAGCAAATAGATCAAGAATTTAAACAACCGATGCTTAAAATTTAAAATAAAAAGCCTTATAATTTTCAATAAATTCAGACAATATATTAAAGTTACTAGAAAATTATGGCTGCAATATCAAAAAACACAAGTAATCTTTATCTACATGCTTTAAAGATTTTTAAAATTTTTTTAATTAAATTAAAGAAGTATATAAGAGCACAACTGGCAAATTTAAACGTTGAGAGAGATTGTGATCGTACATTTTCCATGACTTTTTTGAGCTTATGCCAATTGTTGGCGAAAGTATAAATAAGAACGACGGGAATGGTAACGTACAAACCGAACTTAGCGATCTCTAGAATTCCATTCGAAGTTCTAAGAGATGACATTTTGTTGAGAAGATTAGTAAAAATAGTAAATCTACCTGAAAGTGAAAATTTCAATCGGAAAGAGCTTGATAATAATACCCCTTAACTTAAAGCAAAGAGAAGTTCGTGCGAGAAGCTGGTAAAATCAACCATTATTATTTATTGAAGTGGGCCTGAGTAGACATTCAAACTAATGGTTTGGCACTAGTGAGAGCAAAATGGCCCAGAATGAAATCCAACTTGCACACATCTAATAATTTTTACATAGAATTTGATAAATGTTTTACTCGAATGACCATTCATTTATTTGAGTTTGATTTAGTGTAACTATGTGTTCTTATTATGATATTATATTGTAATTAAAATTGATATTATATAATTAATAAAATATATAAGTTTATGGTTAGAAAAATTGATATAATTTTTTATAATTTTTTTTAAATTAGCATATCAATTATTTTATATAATAGATATAAAATGATGTATTATTATCTAGTATTATTAATTTTTTTGGAGGCCTTAATAAAACAATAGATTAGAAATAAAATTTACGAAATTATTTACAAACACAGCAAGAGAAATAAAAAATAGACAAAATCGTTGTACTAAATAATTTTTCACTTTGGAATTATTCTGTTTTTATTTTTGATTATCCTAAACATATTATTATTATTATTTTTAGATGATGGAAAATTTTCTTAGAATTCAAAAAAAATTTAACCGAACTAATATTTCCATGCTCATGGCTCGGACGGCTGACTCCTCCATGGTGAGTGCGATTTAGTCAGTGAACCGGCGCCAAAGATACCCTTTCAATTCCTCTGATTTTGCGGGAAAAATTCTAAAGTCCATTCCAGTTTTAACCAGAGGAAATGAAGTCGATGAGAAATCTTTCAAGTCTTATTTAGTCGTGCACCAGTTCAGAAGCGCTTTGCGGATAAAATGTTTGTAAAGCTCCAATTAGATTCAAATGGCTTCTACATTTTGCGTTCGCAAAAAACATCACCGCCCACCGTAAATGTCCTCCGTTCGCCAATGGAAAAATTTGTACCCATCAGCAAGCCAAACGATTGCAGTGTCCTTGAAAGTTTTAGTGGCCGAAAACTAAGGAGATTACGTCTAGCTAACAAACAAAGTCATCTTAGAAGGATCCTTGTTCATGAACCTGCCTTGGAGGAACAGATTTTTGAGAAGAACCCGGATGGAGAACAGAGAAAAAACAAGATAGTTGAAGTTGAAGATGATTGTAGTATTGGGTTAAATTTAACAGATGTAATGGCCATGGTTTGGCGGAGAAAGTGCATGCCAAGTGTTCGACGAAATGGATATGCTACGGAGGTTCGATCCCAGCTATTTTGCAGGCTTTGGAAAGATCAAAGGATATTGATCAAGCTTTAAGGCCTTGGGCAGAGAAGTTGAGCAATAAGGAGAGCACTATTATCTTGAAGGAACAGTCAAGCTGGAAGTGAGCGGTGGAGATCTTTGAGTGGTTTAAGAGGAAGGATTGTTATGAATTGAATGTGATTCATTATAATGTCATGCTCAGGATTCTTGGAAGAGCTCGTAAATGGAAGTATGTGCAGAGATTATGGAATGAAATGACTGACAAAGGGGTTATCCCCATTAATTCTACGTATGGAACGTTGATTGATGTCTATAGTAAGGGGGGTCTAAAAGAACAGGCGCTTTGTTGGCTGGGAATGATGAATAAAGAAGGAATGAAGCCTGATGAGGTGACCATGGGAATTGTTATTCAAATGTACAAGATGGCTGGAGAATTCCAAAAGGCCGAGGGATTTTTCAAACGGTGGTCCTCGTGTGAATTGTTAAACCATGAAGGAGCAAGTAGTACAGTGAATAATTGTACAGAATCACTTGTTTGTTTAAGCTGTCATACATATAACACATTGATTGATACATATGGTAAGGCAGGGCAACTTAAACAAGCTTCTCAAACTTTTTATAGGATGCTTAGAGAAGGTATCGTTCCGACTGTAGTAACCTTCAATACAATGATTCACATTTGTGGCAACCATGGCCAGCTTGAAGAAGTGGCTTCCCTGATGACAAAGATGGAGGAGATTCAGTGCCGCCCTGACACTAGAACATATAATATTCTTATTTCGCTTCATGCTAAGCATGACAATATAAAGATGGCAGCTAGCTACTTTGTAGAAATGAAGCAGGCTGGCCTCGAACCAGATGTTGTGAGTTACCGCACTCTCCTATATGCGTTCTCAATAAGGCATATGGTTGAGGAAGCTGAAGGCCTTGTAAATGAGATGGATGAGAGGGGTCTTGAGATTGATGAGTATACACAATCAGCTCTAACTAGAATGTATATAGAAGCAGGGATGCTCAAAAAATCATGGTTATGGTTCTGGAGGTTTCATCTTACTGGGAATATGAGCTCTGATGGATATTCTGCCAATATTGATGCGTATGGTGAGCGGGGATATGTTATGGAGGCTGAGAAAGCTTTCATTTGTTGCCAAGAGAGTAAGAAGCTGACTGTCCTTGAGTTTAATGTGATGATCAAAGCTTATGGTATTGGAAAAAATTATGAAAAGGCATGCCAGTTGTTTGATAGCATGCAGAGTTTTGGTGTTACTCCAGATAAATGTAGCTATAATTCTCTTGTACAAATTTTGGCTAGTGTTGACATGCCATGCAGAGCAAGAGTCTACCTGAGGAAGATGCAGGACACTGGAATTATAAGTGATTGCATCCCTTATTGTGCTGTGATCTCAAGTTTTGTGAAACTTGGGCAGTTAAAAGAGGCAGAGGAACTACACAGGGAGATGATTGAACGCAATGTGAAGCCTGATATTGTTGTTTATGGTGTACTCATAAATGCTTTTGCTGAAATTGGAAGTGTAAAAGAAACTACTAGTTATGTTGATGCAATGAAAAGTGCGGGGTTGGCTGGCAACGCTGTCATATACAATTCCTTAATCAAGCTTTATACAAAAGTTGGTTACTTGAAAGAGGCCCAAGAGACTTACAGAATACTTCAATCAATGGAGATACACCCTGAAGTGTATTCTTCAAATTGTATGATTGATCTCTACAGTAGACGATCCATGGTGAGAGAAGCTGAAGGGATTTTTGAAAACTTGAAGAGAAAGGGAGATGCAAATGAGTTCACATTTGCAATGATGCTGTGCATGTATAAGAGAAATGGGAGATTCGAAGAAGCCAGTCACATTGCGAAAGAAATGAGAGAAGGGGGAGTTTTAAGTGATTTATTAAGTTATAACAACGTGCTTGGGTTGTATGCTTTAGATGGGAGGTTCAAAGAGGCAGTTGAAACTTTCAAGGAAATGATGGATGCCACAATTCAACCTGATGACTACACATTTAAGTCACTGGGATCTGTTCTCATTAAATGTGGGGTTCCGAAGAACGCTGTTAATAAGCTTGAGGCATTGAGGAAGATGGATGGTTGGAGAGGTTTGCAGGCGTGGATGTCGACCCTATCTTCCATTGTTGGAATTGATGGTGAACTTTAGATGATCTATAGTGTAAAATTTATTCATAATCGTAGGCATGTATACGTATGAATATATGCCTGGTGCAAAATCCCGCGTCCACAATACAGTTCTCACTTTCAAGCTGTATATTGGGCTAAACCACTAGAGAAAGTATCTCTTGAGAGCGAGCGCATAGATTGAGGGTAATGTGAAACCATGCCCGACTTGAAGAACAAAGTTTGGATGAAACTGTTGTCAATGAAAATTTAAGGGGTGCCTATTTAAAGATGAAGTCAAAAGTTTATGTTTTAGTTGTAATATCTTTAAAAATTGTATGTTTAGCGAATAAAGTTTTGACCTTTTTTTAATATTTATGCTTATTTTGTGTAAAATATCAACAAATGGTTTTGGTAGGTTCTGCTGGTGATTTTTTTAAAAGAATAGTTGAGGTGGAGATCATCAATTTTAGGTTGAACGAAAAGATTAGGAAATAAAATTCTTCAACTAAATTCAAAATTTTTGATATGCAAATTTATACCACTGAAAACTGAAAGTAGATCAACACTAACAGAACAAATAAGAAACAAGGGGTGTAATATACAGGATCCATTATAATTTCTCCTCTTGCCTCAACCTAAGCTTTGTACTAGTAGAATTCACAGAACATCATGGTGCCATGACAGAACAATCTCCTCAATCCCATTCTTTAACTCATCCCAGTCAACTTCCTCTCCTTCTCCTTCCTTCACTTTGACCTCCACCACCACCGCCACCTCCGCCATCTCCACCGCCTCAACAACTAATACAACTCTCCCTTTCTCCAGACCCACCACCGCTCCACCTCCTTTCCTCGTCTCCACTCTGTAACCCAACCTCTGTCCCACATCCCTCATCTTCTCCACCACTCCCTCCACCGAAACCCGAGAAGTAAATCGCCTATCGTTCCTCTTCCTCGCCTCGAACAGCCCTGACAGATCCAACCCCGATGACAGTGAGATTATGTCAAATGCAGTCAACCCCAATTCAGTATTTTCTTTTAATGAATTCTCGAACATGCTGTAGCTATCTTTTGTTTCTGTATCTAACGATTTATTGAACCATGAAGTTTTCATTACTGATTCTATGCTCATTCTTTTACTGGGATTCGGTTCCAGAAGCTGGTAGATAATAGCTCGCGCCGGCTTCGAGATCCATCCTGGGAATTTGTATTCCCTGCCTTGGATCTTCTTGTACAGGGTTATGAGATTGGTATCGTCGAACGGTAAGTATCCCGCGAGTAGTACGAAGAGGATGACCCCGCAGGACCAGGCGTCGGCTTTGGCCCCGTCGTACCCTCCACGTTGGAACACTTCCGGCGCCGCGTAAGCCGGGGTTCCGCAAGCCGTCTCGAGCAAGCCGTTTTTGAGCTGTTCCGGCAAAGCCGAGAGTCCAAAATCCGATACCTTGAGGTTTCCATTTCTGTCGAGGAGGAGGTTCTGGGGCTTCACGTCGCGGTGAGCGACGCCGTTTTTATGGCAGAAGCTGATGGCGGAGACAAGCTGCTGGAAGTAGCGACGAGCTGAGGCCTCGTTGAGTCGGCCCCGTCGACGGAGCTTGGAAAAGAGTTCTCCACCGGAGGCTAACTCCATTATTAGGTAGATCTTTGACTTGGTGGCCATAACTTCATGGATTTTGAGGATATTGGGATGATGGTGAAGACGACGCATCGCGGCTACCTCTCTGATTATTCGGGGCTCCATGGCAGCATCGACAGTCTTCCTCTTGTCGATGATCTTGACGGCGACATGAACACCGTCGGCGATGGAGCGCGCTTGGTAGACTTTAGCAAAGCTACCGCGGCCCAAGAGGTGGCCCAGTTGGTACTTACCCAAAATGGTAGTTGCTGGGACGGCGGCGGGCTGAGTTGGTTTGGTCAGAGCCAATTGCTCCATGGCTCGGGGGTGGATGCAAGAATGAAGCAACCGACAGGACAGTGGTTTAAGGACGGATGGTTTGGTTTTATAGTGTGAGATGAGAGTGAAAGCTACTTGGCTTGTGATTCTCATTTATTCATAATTCAGGTAGGTTTCCTACTATGCCCTCCTTTCTTTTTTAATATTTTATTGTCTTTCAAAAACAAATATATTTTATTATTACTTTTCCTTTACAAAAACAAATATCATTTAATCATAAACTTTAAAAATCAATGCATTATGTATCTAAAAAAAATATGCAATACTTAATTGGTGGATTTAAGTGAAAATTGCACGTATAGAGGATACACGATATATAATTTTATAACTTAAAACCCATAATTTAAAGATTAATAAAATTATGATGAAATGTTTATGATGCATTAAATTTTTCACTAATTTAATTTTACTTTCTTCATAATTTGCATTCTTTTTGTTTTCCCCCATAGAAAAGAAAAGGAGAGAACGCGTAATAGCAACACATTATTAGTTGGCAATTATAAGTCAAATTCAATTTTTTTTTTTTTTTTTTATTGCTTAGCTAACTTTTAAGGTGGATACAACGAGCTTTTTGCTCTCACAAGTCACCAAAATATTGTTTGGGTTCCAAGAATTTCGCAAACCATTTTATGAAAAAGGCAAAATCTTGGTTTTTTATAAATTTAAAAAAAAAACATTCAATATTAAAAGAAAGTCACACAATAAATTGATTGCAAGCACAAACTTCTAATTTTGTACTTTATTTTGCCCTCAAATGAATAATATTTATAGTGTATAATATTTATAATATATGTTAGAAATTATGCCCTATTTTTTCCCCTAGTTAATTTATATACATGACGATATATTATATATCTAGGAGTGTTATAATTAATTAACGTTAAAGTATGAGATATTTTCTTTTGGTATCAATAAAGTAGTGGTAACCAAAGTTGATTTCCAGTATTTTCTCTGGACAAGAGAGAGAGAGGACCTTAAAAAGCATAAAAACCCTAATTATTCTCTTGCTTTTTTAATCAAAATATTTTTTTTTTGAATAGATTTATATAACATTTCAGTAAAATTAATAAATTAATGGAAGAACAGAATAGAAGTTCTTACTTTTTTAATTACTAAAAACTAACAAAGTAAAAGACATAATTTTTTGTTGTAAACATTCTACTAATTAAGTATGATAAATTAAAAATAATTTATTTTTAAAAAATAATCCGTAGTAATTTTTTATTAATACAATCCAATTTAGTTAGTAATTGTAACATGAGAATTTTTCTTTATAATTTTTTAATAATTTTTTTTTCTTATTTGGAGGAATAAAAAAATTAAACTTTTAATTATTTTACTAATTATTATTATTTTTTATTCAAAGGTGAACTCTTTTCACTTTTGTCAATCAAGCATAGTGTTTAGACTATTATAAGTTATCTTGTGCTGATAGTCACATATTTTATTCTTTGAATTTTCAAATACTCACATATATGTTTATTTTTCATCACACATTTTGGGATGTATACTTCTCTTATATGTTAGTGAGTATAATTTTTCATAATAAGATTATTTTATATTTGTTTTTTTTAAAAAAAAAATTATATTTTTAACTAAAAGATATTCCTAAAATTGTGTGACAACTAATGATTGACACGAGACACTAATTATATATATTGTAATTTCATATTAAAAAAAGGTAGTAAATTATTATGCACTAATGTAGATACAAATTATATATTTTTAAAAAAACGTGAAAAGAGAAATGGAAGAGATATTTTTGTAGGTATAATGAAAGAAAAGAAAATATGAACGGCAAAGATTGAAAAGGGAAATAAAGTTTGATTATAATAAAATCTAAATTTAAAACTAATTTGTCAAATGAAGCTATCCCTACCTACATCTTATCGTCCTATTGGGTCTCGATTCTGAAAAAGAAAGATGTTCATGGGGAAAATTAAGATGTGAAACATTGTTTTTGTCAATTGTTTGCCACTACTAAATAATAAATTACTACTTTAAATTGTTAATTATTTACAAATAATTTTTAATTTCTTTGTAATTTAATCTTTAAATATATAATTTTTAGTTCATAATATTTTTTACAAATAATAAGATTTTCACTATAACAAAACATGACGTTTGCAGCGAGACAAGTTCAAAATGCCTTGTGAATTTATAATGTCTTTTGTGGCGGTCTTGTTAATTGTTGCAAAATTTTTATTGATTTAACTAAAACACTCATCTGTTTAATTTTTAGTTTACTAAAAGGAAAAAAAACAAAAGAACAAAGTTATCATTTGTAGCTTCGACCTCACCATGCACACCTCCTAGTTTATGTTGCGGTAGATGTGTTATTCCTTAATTGTCATCTCATATTTGCTTAATTGTTTAGGATAATGTATTTGTGGAGGTAATTATCTCTCTGTCTCTCTCAATACACATTCATTGAAATTAAAAAAGGAATTACTAATTTTCCACCTTCTACTTCAACTTGGCCACTTGATGCCCCTAACTTTAAGAATCTGTCCCCTTTTAACTCAACATTTGTTGTAACTTGTCTACTTCAAAGTCATTTGCACCTTCTACTACTTGAGGTTAGTATTTAAATGTTCATTTTACTGTATAGTAGAGTACAATAAAAAAAGTGGAAGAGAAGAAAACATTTAAAGGAAGTGATTTTTTCCTAAAATGAAGGATTTTTTAACATGTTGTGTTGATGTGTCTTCAATTTTGGCGATATTTATCTGTATTTTGCGGATAATTTATTTGAATTTTTTCGTATTTATCATGTGGAACATTTGATGTATATCTTATAGAGTTTTTATTTGTGAAGAACTCTACTAGTCTCTCTATAAATAAGTTTGCTAACCTATTAATGATGTACTCTCAGATTACATAGTGAAATTTTTTATTGTTGACCTTATCTGTGGATGTAGGCACACAACCGAATCACGTAAAATTATTGTATTTTTTTTCTGTTTTTACTTTGATGAGATTGTACATGCTTTAGGGATTAATTTTCTCAAACAAGTGGTATCAGAGTTCGAGTTTAAGCTGGGTTAGAGAGAGAGTGTACAAATTTACAGATCATATAAGACAAAAAATAGAGGCGGCAGCCATTATGCGCTACAGATAAACTCAAATCTATATAAGGAGTGGCAGTTTTTCGAAGATGAAGAACTGGTTTCGCGTTGGATTTGGAACCAAAAGGTTCGCAGACGGCGGTAGCTAATAGAGGTGTCCAGAATCTTGTAGGATCTGCAAAGAGGAAGAATGAGCCACAGACAGTTTTGATTTTGACCAGAAACAAGAGAAGAGGCTCACAATCTGACCGAAGATGTGGCTGTGCACGACAGACGGATAAAGAGAAGCTAGAAGAAGTCGTTTGTGCGTAAAACGAGGGCTGGAGAAGAAGAACGCGCGCCAAATAAGACAAACTAGTGTGACGACATCTGATTCGCTCGAGGCCTAATTTGCAGCATTTCCAATAGTGTTTCAGCACGTTTTCACCAGATCCGTGTTGGATTCGTCGAGTCGCACGTTTCTGTGCTTTTTTTGGTATTTTTTTACAGCAACAAGAGGCAATCGGCGACCGCGCGTGACATCTCTGACGACCGCATGTGTGAGTGCGTGGAGGAGCGCATAGCAGCACGTGGAGGAGCATGGTGGCGTGTGGAGGTGCGTGTTGTGTTTTAATAGTTGCGTTAGGTGGTTTTCTGTGTAGTGGTAACTCCTTGTTAGTGTTTTTACTTTCTTACAATGTTTTTTTTCTCTGTTTGGTTTTTTAGTGCATAGTCTAGGGATTCGATATAACATTCATAAAATAAAAGATAGAGAAATTTGATGGTGGTACGAGTTTCAGTCTGTGAAATATTAGAATAAGATCGTCCATAGTACTATAAGGTTTGTGGGGAGCAATTGGAGAAAGATATCTTGAGAGTATAGGAGAGTTAGAAAATGCAAGTATACAGGATAGAGCCTATTGTGTTTTTTTTATGAGTGTCAATGACAATGTTCTACGAGAGATTGCTGAAGAAATTTTAGCTTCAACTATGTGGAAGAAACTAAATGATTTTTACTATGTAAAATCGCTAACGAACTACCTTTATATAAAGAAAAGGTTGTACAATTTGAGAATGAGTGAAGGTACGTCTATTAAACAATACCTTGATGAGTTTAATTATTTAATTATGGACCTGAATAATATAAATATTAAGATTAAAAATGAAGATAAGGTATTGATTGTTCTGTGTTTATTACCATCTTCTTTTGAGACTTTTGTTGATACTTTACTGTATGAAAAATCTAGTATTTCACTAAATGATGTTAGCAACGCACTAAAATCGAAAGAGTTATAAATTTTTTTTACTGAGTATAGAACATAAGAAAAAGGTTTAGTAAGTAGAGAAAAGACACAGAGAATGGACAAATCAAAATCTAAAGGTAAAAAAGGAAACTATTTTGAGTGTGGAGAAAATGATCACTTAGAGAGATTGTCCTATGCTGAAGAGAGGAAAAGAGCATGAGAGTTCTGCTAATATAGTTGATAGGGATAATTTTGATGACAGTGATAGCAACAGTATTGAGGTAGTTTTATTTGTGAATTCAGATCATAAAAAGAACTCTTGGATTCTTGATTATGGTACTATATTCTACATGTGTTCACATAGACATTGGTTTGCTATCTATAAGCAGATGAGTGTTATCGTGTGTATGGGAGATGACAGTTCGTTATCTGTAGCTGATATTGGTAATATCATATTAAGAATATCTAATGGTATCATTAAAACTATTGAGTATTGGCATGTTCCTCATATGAAGAGGAATATGATTTCTGTTTCTACATTGGCGATCCAAGATTACAAATATCATGCAGAGAATAAAACTTTTAAAGTGTGTAAAGCCTCTAAGGTACTCATAAAAAATAGTTTAGAATGCAGATTGTATGTTTTTTCAGGAAAATGTAGTTTCAGGGAAAGCTACTATAGCATAAGGGAGCAGTAATCAAAATCAGTTATACCATCTACGTTTGGTTCATATGAGTGACAATGAG